CCAGACTGAAAGCATTGAGAAAAAAATAAACTCTCTTCAGTTTATTTAGCTTCATGCACACAGAACAATGGGCTTTCATTTGTCATGGCCTCAGTAATGTGCTCCAGTGACAGGCTTAGGCAGGGTTTAAACACAAACAAAAAAAAGGCAGGAAAAAAAAAAAACACATTACTTGAGCATCAACATCTTCAAATCAATTCGGAAGATTTCCAGGTTTTTTTTCTTTCTTTGATCTCAGCTGATCCATAATAATGATGCTCTGATGTTATATTACTTGTAAGGTTAAAGGGGATGTAGCTCATACTCTCGATAATCTTCTTTAAAAGATCCTAAACAAATAAAGCCCCAAAACTTTACATTGCGCTCACCAGCTCAGCTCAGCTATAAAGACTAAGGTGTGCTCAAAGAGAAAGGCATTAAAATAGAACTTAAAGGACCAAGGTTCGTGTTTGCTGCTCGCTGCAATACCTGGTGAGGTGCTGTAGCCACTAAATAACGCTTATCAGGAAGGCTGTTTCACTAACTAAATATTTAGAGAAGGAAATATAGCTATAAAATTGGAATAATGTCCCTCAATATAGGTAGAGTTTTATTACCTTACTGATATAGCTAACTTTTGCAAGTATAAAGTAAACAGTTTAAGGCACAGAGAGACCAGTTAAATTCTTTATGCAAAGTACACATTATCACTAGGGAAGATAAGAAAGCCTTTAAGCAAGAACTGAAAACAAATCTATTTTTGAATATACACCATCACATTAACTTGCTGCAGTGTGCCAACTGCTGCTCTTAGAAAACATGAGTTCAGCTGTGCTCTGGCTGTGGAGCTATTTGCTCACTCAGTTATGTCTATCTTGTTCCCACTGCAGGCCAGAGAAAAATAAAGGGAAAAAGGCAGCCAAGGTTGCAGCCCCTTCAGACGTCAGCTCAGTCCTCAGAGAAGTCACCCTTTATGCTCAGGTTTCATTAACCTTCTCAGCTAGCAACACATTCTGCTCCATTAAGTTCAGCCCCCTACAAGAGAGCTTCACCCGTGGACCTAATAGCATCCTTTTTATTTATTTATTAAACTGTTTTCAAACTCTCATCAGGAAGAGCTCTTAGAGCCTGCGTTTCACTGCAGCACAGTGGATCAAGTCAGTTCTTTAAGCCCTCCCTCTCTCTCACAGCTATAGCTTCTCTCGAGGAATAAGTGCATCTGTTCAAAGACCAGACCGGTACTTAAGAGACTCAGCATCTCCTCCCCGTAGTAAGGTAGAAGTGGTTATAAAGGCTCAGCTGAAGACAGCATGAAGAAATATGACTTGAAGCAGCAAGTGCTCAGCCAACTAGCATCTTAAACCAGACACACACATGCGTACAAAAACCCCACCTAAGCAACCAGTCACTTCTAGCTTTTAACTATACAAACATCAGCTATTTTTGTCCAGTGTCTTGTGAATCCAACCCATGTATCAAGAGCAAGAGTTAATTCTAAAATTTGTTTTCTGACCTGTAATACTGTTATAGAATAAATCAAAACTGGTGTGAGGAAAAGCAGAGTGATAGGACAGCAATCAGCTGTTTGATTTGGTGCTTTATAACCTGACCCAAAACCCAATTCATGAATAGCCTGTAGTAGGCATTGGCTGGTGCAAGTGGTATTACGTCCAACCCCATGTACAGAAGTGCAAAGCTGGATATTTTTAATTAATCCTAATGCTTTTACAATTTAGAAATGGAAGATGGTCTGCAGAGGAAACAGAATGTCAAGCCTCCTGAGCTGTTTGCCTTCCACCTGCCTCTATGTGAACCTGAGCAGTTGATATAGGCTCTTCCTCTCCTCTTAGCAAAGCTCAGGCAAAGTGTTTCTCATCCAGATCAGATCATCATCACTGGATGAAGTTCACATGTAACACGTAGCAGACTTCACTGCTGTTCCTCAGAGAGAAGGTCCATCTAACAGCATCAGTACCACACCTAATAAAGCAGCCTTACAGTTACTAACAAGGCACAAAGCTTCTAGAAGGCTCACAATGGGAAGTCCACGGGTAGATTGGATTTGAAGCCTGTATCGCTTACAGCCTTTGTCAGATTGTTCTGCACACCATGCTGCAGCATCCTTCTAGAAGCTGGCAAATAGTCTTTAACAACTGCTACTCAATACACCATGAAATTCCTTACACGCCTCTGATGCTCTGGTTTAAATCCTTCCAGCATTCCCATTAAAAAACCTCCAACACTACTTTTCAGTGGTTTATAACTCAGCTGAAAGAATTTTGCTTTGGGCTGAAACTTGGTACAAGTCATAGGAATTCACAACAAACACTGTTTGGCTTTCTGAAATGCAAAGCAAAGTCAATGGAGCCATCTTTAAACGGCAAAACAAAGCAGCAGGGCAGTGTACCATGGGGTATGTATGCCTCGGACAGGAATCAATGCTGCCCTAGTGCAGCAGCAATGCAGAACCGAACTTCCATCCTCACTTGGAAACAGTAAATAGGAAATGGTGTGTAACAAACATCAGTATGAGCCTCGCTTTCCTGAACAGCCCTGTTAGCACAGCCCAACCAAAGTACTCATTATGGTCAATTCTATTTTACTGTTACATTTGGTAATTTACTATTACTCATTACAGCCTATTGTTTCACTACAGAGTTTGTGCATGCCTGTTTACATGAGAGACCACAGAGGTTCACATTAATAATCATCATTGTTTTAAAACCCCTTCAAGCAGATGCATTTGATAGAAAACAGACTCTGAAGCAGTCATTGGCTACTCAATGGCAAACACTTTACAAAGTCACCAAATATGAACCTGTCTGAAGACCTTCTTACAGCCAGGGTGCCAAGGGAGATTTGTTTTTCATGAAACCTTTGATTTCATGGGGCTCCCACTGCTGAGAAGCGACAAGATAGGGCTGGGGGTGGAAAACACACACATATACACACAGTGCATGGTGAACAGTGAGTTAATGTTGGTATTCTTCATCACACAGTGTGGCTAAACTAAACACACATCAGCTTTCACAAGGTTGCTGCTGAAAGCACTCACTAAACACAACAGGTCTCTTCCTCATCTCAGTCACACATTCCAGGTGATACCTGTGTATCGCCCAGTAACACCAACCTGAAAGGCTCTTTTTTTTAATGCCAGAATTTATTCTGTATATACTAGATACTCCATCTTTTATTACTGCAGCCTTTAGGTTTACAACTGAAAAGCTTTTTTCCAATTAGCCTATAGCAGACAGGTTAGGCACTGAACATCCACCGTGCATGGAGAACACCTCCCTCAAATCCTATGTATACGATATGCTGCTGGAGAAATAGCACTTAAACTATTAACTTAAACCATTGCCTATTGCTTAGACTTGCAGTCTGGGGACTTAAATCACTCTTAACTTGACCTCTGTATATACCTGTTGAAATTTCTTGGTAACTTACCAAAAATCAAACAATAATTGGAATGCCAAGGTTGATATTATCCTGCCTTTTCCTATACTAAGGAAAATAGCAACTGAAGGAAAACATTTTCACAGGCAAGTCATTCAAGCTTAGCTCCTAAACATGAAGCCAATGTTTACTACTGCAGACAAGGTCAGGGTGTTGAGCATATTAAAACTATATTAGTTTATTACTGTAACTATAACTTTACACCACAAGCTGTTGGGTTTTCTAGTGCTCTTTCTCTCCTTGAGAGTGTTTACCACAGGTTTATAGAGGTCAGGCTCACACATTTGGCTGCTGGACAGGCTGAAAGCAATGGCAAAGCAGCGATACATAACAAGACAAGAGCAGTTGTTAAGACACACAAACTGCTCCTTCTCCCTCTCACCGCTGTCCCTCCAGTTGCTGCTGGGGATGTCTTTCACAGAGCCAAATTTGCAGCAAAACTTGAGCTGTGTTAAGGCTCTCAAAACAAGTTATCCTCAACAATCCTCCTGGCATTCAAACTGCCTTCTTTCCCAAGCACTCCTCTAGCACAGCTCGAGCCTCTCTGTGCCCCTCTGTCTCCACTCACTGTTCGCAGACAGACTTTTTGGGGCACAACTGAGCAACAAACACCCAATGTTGTGTTATAAGAATAAGGCTAGCAGAGAACTCGTCCTGTTTTCCTTGTCAGCAGCACAGCAGGCTTATTTCTAGGCTCTGAGGAAAGGAAAGCTAGACAGAGAAAAGCTACCTTTCTCTGAAACAGTCCCGGGCAGAGCTTGGAAGTGAAGAAACCAATCCCAGCTGCTGAACAGCTGTGCTACCAAAGGTAAAGTGAAAACCGCATTTCTCTCCTATGTGAGGCAATGCAAGCATAAAGGGTTAGGAAGCAGCAAGTGGTAAAAGGACAGCAGATGTGATTTTGAGGCAAGTCTCATGACCTAACAAGCCGAGAGAAGAACACCTTCTCTAGAGGAAAGAAAATGAGCGAGGGTACCCAAATAGCAAGCCCTGTGCGAATACATACAGGGCTTGACAATCCCACCACAGTGACAGAAAAGGTGAGAAGGGCAGGAGCCAGAAGGGAGAGAGGCTGGGAGGAGGAAACGGGAGATAGAACAAGACAGATAGGGAACAGGTTGAAACAACTACGCTACGACGACAGAGATGGCAACGTGCACAATAAAGCAAGGGAGGCAGGAGAGTTAAGACACTCGCGAAAGGAGCCAGCTCAATACAGCTGGCACCGGCCAAACGAAGTGAGCCCAGGGAACCTTCGGAGAAAGTTTGCCCGGCGGACGGCCGCCGGCTTAACAAGAGCCCGGACTCCAGCCCGGGCGGGGACATCGACCGCCACCGGCCGGCCGCCAACTCCGGCGCCGCTCAACTCCCAGCGACCCGCACCTGCCCTCATCACCGGGCGCCCTGCGGGCTGGACACCGCCGCTCCCCACCGCCGCTCAGGGCATGACCGGGCCGGCCGCGGGAACCCTCCTGCCCGATCGATGCGCCGTGCGCGTTGCATAACCCCTCTGTGTCCCTGCCCCGTGTGGGGCACTGCGAGGCGAAGCGGGAGGAGCTACTCACATCGTCCCACTTGACGAATTTGATGCCCTTCTTGAGGGTGTCGGACACGCAGACGGGCTTGAGCTGGAGAGCGTGCACCCCTGGCTGTGCCCCGGCCATTTGCACCGCATTGACGCGCTCCCCCCCCGGAGCGGAGAAGCCGCGGGAGGCGGCCGCCTCAGGAGGGACGCCGGGGCGCCGGAAACCGCACCGGGAAGCGAGGCCGGCAGCCGCGCTCGGCGCGCCTGGAACGGGCAGCGAGGCGCTGCCCGTGCGAGAGGCTTCAGTGGCGCCCGCGGAAGGACCTGGCGCGGCAGCAGCCGGAGCGAACCGTGCAGCGGCACATCCTCTATATACGGCCGGCTCGCCACGCACGCACACGCCCGCTCCCTCTCTCTCTCACACACACACTCACTCACGCACGCACGGGCACGGAACGACCGGCGCTGCCCGCTCCGCTGCGCTCCCGCCCCTCCTTCCTCCCCGCCCGCCAGGCTCGGCCCCCGAGGTTCCCCCGCGCCGAGGTCAGCGCGCCGCGCCGGCAGCACTGCAGCGCCACCTGCCGGCTGCGGCCAGCGCGGCACCCGCCGCGGGGCCTCGGGCTCCTCTCGCAGTGAGGGGCTGCTATGAACCCCCCCAGGGGTCTCGGTTCCCCAGGGGCCACCAGCGCCCCGCAGTTTGTCTTCCTCGCAGTACGGTCACGGCAAGCCCTCTCAGTGGTCCCGAAGCGAGGAGGACAACAAGGAGGTGCTTGGAAATGCACCGAGAGGCACGCATGGACCTGCATTAATGCCTGAGAAGGGAGCAGCCGTGAGTGTCTGTGTGGCTTGTCCTGTACCGCGGTACTTCTCACCAGCGTTAGGCCTCAGAAGGGGTGAGTGCATGGGATGCCAAGTGCAATTTCAGGGAATAGTTACAGCGAAAGTGGAGCAGAAGGGCAGTGCCAAGCCTGCAGAATGATGGATGGGATGCCAAACGAAGAAAGGCTCTTTACGTTAGGACAGCGGCACATAAAAATCCTATCAAGGCTTCACATTTTAAATACTCAGAAATTGCTTCACCAAAGGTTTTTACTCTCATAAGATGGTCTTCCTCAGAATAAAGAAACATGACCTTAATTCACAAAATATAAAGATGACAAAATGTCCTCTCATCCAGCAAAATCCTAAATCCAAGAGTTTTATGGAAAGGTTTTTGAAGAACAAAGTTACATGTGCTCCACAAATGACCTCCTCTCTGCTACAGCCCCTGTGCGATCACAGCAGAGATAAAGCATCAGATGATGCAGCACATGAGATTTCTGATTTCTCTGTGGAGGTTTCCAACTAACCCTTATGATTTAAGGGCAGAGGGGCACACTTCTACTATCAGCAAAGCAGATGGGGTAGCAAGCAAATCTTTGAAGACAAATTGATTTTGTTTCAGAGGAACGGTATTTCACAAAATATAGGCAAACTGAGTGGGGAGAAGTTTGGGGCTTTTTAATTAAAAAGCTACAAAACTGGCATATTGGGTTCCCAATTCGCTCTTACTGTTAGTTACAGACTTGGTAAAGCTCTTCTCTGAGCCTCTTCCAACTTCTTCCCCTTCAGCAAGAAACTTTTAGTGGGGGCTGAATCTGCTCCTTTCTGACAGTTCATGCAGGCAGCATGTACTTTTGAAGGCCAGTTAATCCATTTAATCTATTCTTTATGCTTATCAACCTTCCATGCAAATGTGGGTGTCACATCAGCCAGGGGAAAGTCTGCGCTCTCACTGCTGTGCTTTCATTTCCATGGCTTAAACAATAATGAAGTCTGGGTTTGACTGCACTGACCTAAGTACAGGATTGTTCTATGATGGGGTAAGGGAGATTTTCAGTATCATTTGCGCAGCTGCCTTTGCATCCCAGCATATAGTATTCAAAAGAATAAAAATTTAATAAAAATAGTAAAATCCCCCAGAAAATAAGAGCAAAGAGCACTGACACTACATTATATTCAATCCCTTAAACACATGTATTCACTGCAGGGTACTGAAAGCAGCTGTTCAGAAGATGTAAAATGACCATGGATGGTGGCACCTCTGTGGCATTTCTCAACAGGGCCCTAACACATTTTCATCTGCCCAAGTCTTCTTTACAAACGTTGTTAGGGAAATCAATTGCAATTTGTGATGATACCTCATATACTCCTGGCGATTTATTAGTCTGAAGGTGGAAGAGGTGATCCTATAGATCAGTGTAGGCTCTGATACTGGTCTCTGCTATTTCAGATACAAAGTACTGTTTGGAGCAATTTTGTGGCTTTTCATACTTAAGTATCTTAATCTGATGGTATTTGGCTGCAGAGAAACATGCCTTTTCTGTGGCAGATCTCTAATGGATTTTACATCAAAAGGAAGGAGCAGCACAACAGGAAATGGCATTTTGACTGTGCCTTTTAAACAACAGCTCTGGAAAGTGCTTCTGATTCAGCCTTTGCTGAAATCCTGGGCTCAGTGAAGTTAGTGGGAATTTCAGTTTCAATGTGGAAAGCTAACTCATGTGTTACTGCTATTGCTTAATTAGCATCTGCTCCAGCTAAGAATACATTTCTTGGTACATAGTACATGTTGCAAACACATTCACTGCATGGCTGAATTCAAGCGTTCTCTTCCACATAGCATGAGTTCAGTGACATGGGAACCAGCTGCACTTAGCAGGATCACTACACCCAGAAAGAATACAAGTACCTTATCATTAGGTGGTTGGACCACATCTGGCAAAAGAAAAACCAGGCACCTTTCTCCAAATGTGCAGTAAGCCACACTAAATACACGAAGTATTACGCGTATCTTCCATTTCTTCTTGACTTAGCCCCTTTTAGTTCTAAGAAATTCAAGGGCAGATGTGCTATTAGAACTAAACTCGGCAGTGAGCTAATTCAGATAGTTATGCAGAGTTGTACATTTTAGGTGTGAAACACACTGGTCTTATATTGCTGCAGGAATTGATTTCTGGATGCTTTCTTTTGTGTAGGTTCAAGAATCTCAGCTTAGGCAGTAAAATAATTGCCTTATGTAAACAATACAAGTTACTTGAAGGCAATATCCCTATAAAGCATTATTCCTTATATAACATGCCTAGGTACCAATATTTCATTCCCAGGGGAATCAGCTGAATACACAATCTGGTTTAGATACACAAATGGAAATGTATGTCAACAAATAGGAGAAAGGAGCAGTAAGTGATTTAAATAAGAGATGGTGTTGACCAAAGTCAGGTCAAATAAAGACACAGCAAGAGCTATGCTGGAAGTGTATTATGAGGTGATGTGAGAAATGCATTAAAATAAAATTTACTCTTTGAAATCTGATTGCAGAGAAGTATATAGGAAACATATCTCAATGTCATTTGCTATCCTCAGTTTATTGGTATAAGTCTGCATTTTGAAAAGAAGCAGTGGCCTCAGCCTTGAAAATGCTTCAGTGCAATGATGCACCATACTAAGAGTTAAACGTAAGTGGCAGCATTGGCAGGATTTGGGATTAAAGATAAACTCAGCTCCACCAGAAGCATATCGTCCTAACTGCATTTTAAATTGGGCCAAATTACACTTTAATTATCAGTGGGAGCTGGATCATTAAGCTCTACGAAACCACTCTCTGGAAAAGAAATATAGAACGTATGACCCTATCTTTCTGCTAAAAGCTCAGTCCTTCTGAGAACAGCAGAACTCAAACCTTCCCAACAGGACAATTGCCACAAGGCACAGTGGAACTGCCTTGTGTGGCTGTTCTGTTAAGAAATGAAACCTGCAAAATGCAGTAGCCCCAAAAGAGATCATAATTTGTTATAAATCACTCATTTACTAACTCACCTGTTAAAGGAATAATTCCATAAATTCACAGCCAGTGGCCACTGGGTTATGTTTATATTTCATTTGATGCATGTACTAGATGTCACACGCACACAACAACAGCACTCAGATATACCCTTTATGAGCGAGGCTGATAACTTATGTGGCACAGCCACTCAATCAGGTGACTCCTCAAGAGTGAATATAAAATTCTGGCACACAAAACACCACCATAGCAACAAAGACAGCCTGGCAACAGCAGCTGCTGCACGGGAAAGGATTGGAAGGGGAGGGGGAATCTTGTACAAAAGTCCATTTCCTGGCAAAATCATTTTTTTCCCTTCGTATCATCATCACAAATGTGTGTAAAATCCTGGGAGAATAAAGATGAATGCACAATGTTTGAAATTACAGCACAAGTAGCGTCTTTGTGTATATGAAATGACCCAGTCACTGCTACACTCATGTTTTAACCTGGATAGATTGACCTGACACACAGCTGACACCTATGAATGATCTCTGTGCCCCAGGAAACAGTCCATGTTTCTCTGTACGGCACCCTATATGAGGAAGAATAAACCCCTGATGGCTTGGACAAAAGATGCTGTCAAACAGAATTCCTCACCCACTGGCACCCGAGACCTTCACCATGACTCTTTTCATGTCATAGTGAGATTAATTGTTGCATCAGCTTTGTGTGTGTCCTTTTCACGGGTGCATTTCATATGTAGAATCTGAAGCTGAAACTGATCTGGATGGAAATACTTACCTTTTACTCAGAAACTTTCCTCCCCCTCACCCTGTCACAGCCCTGAGGGCACTAATAAGCTACATAGCTGTTCCTGATCAGTTCCTCCCTGGGAGTGCCCTCACCCATGGCCCAGGACCCCATTTAGTCTCAGTCTGGTGTTGTCAGTCCCTGCCCCAGTTGATGCTGCAGGATGCCAGTCTCCAGCCTGGCCATGTGTCCACTGCCCTAGGCCCACCTCATGGCCTGACATCCCAGCCTGGCCTCAGCCAGGATGATATAACATCCCCATTCCCATGGCCCCACCGTCCTGGTGCTGTGTCTGACACTACTTCCCTTCACTGGTCTTGATCCAGACCTCTGCCCACAGGCTGACATCCTGTGCCAGCACCATGGAGGTGGCCTGATATCCTGGGCTGGGGCTAACCACTAGGCCTCCCTTGCTTTTCACTGGGGGTGGAGGCATGGGCCCTGGCTGGCGAGGTCCTTCCCTGCTGCCTCTTCATTCCATGGGACTCCTTGATAACCACTGGCCCTTGTGGTGCCCAACACTTCCGGCTTAACTAACCTCTATGTTAATAAAACTATTACCAGAGAAAACTAAATTAATGCAATACTAGCACATTTAAAATCATAGGACAAAAAGTGCATTCCCTGGAAAGTGTGAATTCATCTTTTTCATGTAGTATAACCTGCTCTTGCTTCCCTGTTCAGTTTATGGCATAATACTTTTTTTGCAGGCTGTTACAATCAGTCCATAAAACTTATAACACAGTGAACAATGTTGAAGTTAATTGTGAAAGCCTACCAGATTTGTTCAGTCACAGCTTGTATAGACTGCCAAAGGTCCACTGACTTCAAAGCTGTGCCTTTGTTTATACCAGTGTAATCATAGAATGGTTTGGGTTGAAAAGGACCTCC